CAGCCCGGGGCGTCGCCTCCTGGCAGCGTCGTGGCGACGCTGAGAGGGCGGTTCGAGATCCTGTCACTCACGGGAACTGTTCTGCCGCCGCCAGCACCGCCCGGCGCCGGCAGCCTGACCGTATTTTTAGCCGGTGGTAATCAGGGGCAAGTCGTGGGGGGTAGCGTCGTGGGGCCGCTGGTGGCAGCCGGGCCGGTGGTGCTGACGGCGGCGTGCTTCTCGAACGCGGTGTACGAGCGGCTGCCTTTGGAGGAGTGCGAGGAAGCTGCTGCTGCGGCCGAGCAGGGTCCGCAACCGGTGGTGTCGCAGTCCTCCGGCGCTACCGCTGCCGGCGGCGAGCGTGGTGGAAGTGACGGTGTGCCGTTCTACAACTTGGGAGGAAGTTATCCGTTTGCAGGCGATGCTTTTGGAGGGTTCAGGCCACCATTCTGATTACTGCTGACTGATCACATCCAATGCCACTAAAGAAGAAGAAGACGATGACGATGGGAATTAAGGAGAAAGAAATCATTTAGATGTCATGATGAAATAAGAAGTCATTGAGTTGCTTTTTCTTGTTTTGTTATGCTGGTTTTGATCTCGGCTGCTAGTAGACATCAAATTAATGTGCCATTGTTCTTCTGATCACTGAGTGATGATATGAATGCAAAACGAGATCTAGGTTCGAGATGAAGGAAGCTTCTCTCGGTGATGTTGCTCCCAAGAAGACCAACGATTGCTGGCGGTGGGTAATGCGAGATGGTGAAACAGAGAAGAGAAGGCCGTGAAGAGACAACTCATGCAGACTCTGCTGAAGATGGGATTCGCCGATTCCCGTGGTGAGTACAGTATTTATGTTTGCAAGTCGATCTTACAAATTCTCCTCTCTCTCTCTCTCACATCTATGAGCGTCGTGCAGAAGACTCTGCCAAGTCTCCATCTCGGAGGCTTCTCTCACACTGTCTATGCTGGGCACTACTATGTTCTGTGCTATCTGCTCATCCTGAAATGACCATTCACAGGGGTTACGGTGTTTTTATCTTCTGCTATTTGATCTTCTCTACATGAGGACCTGCCTTTTTGTTCGCTGGCTTGACAGAAGAACCCCTCTCCTTTTGGTCCCCTATCTTTGTTGGGAAAATGGGAGTAAAGATGTGCAAGTGAATGCTGTCAACTCTCCTTTCTGCTTGGCAGTGGTAGACGACGAGTTAGAATGAGTTCGAAGGCGCAGCTGTGCTGCCATTTATTGGCCACGCAAGGGAAACTGACAATATTATATTGACTGCAGACCGGAAGATTCACACGGCTTCTTTGGTCTTTTGTCTTCCCAAGTTGGAGGGTTTCTACTTAGATCGGTTCTAAACGAATCGCAACTTTAGAAGCGTGATGGGAAGTAATTTTGGGAACTCTGTTGATAACGTTGAATTAGATAGGAAAAAAAAGAGGTAAAGCTATGATTCAAATGAAGAGAAAGAATAAGATAAAATATTTTATGTTTTACTTAAAAAAATTATATTTTTTATGATCCAATATATGAAATTTATATAATTTATATAGATATATTATATTTATTATTCTTAATATGAATCTTTTGTTCTGAAAGATTCTTTCACGAAATAGTTAAATTAGTTTATTCTTTTATAAGTCTTTATTGTCTTTCATCTCTTGATATAATAAATTTTTTCATGATGTTTTGATAAATTTAATCTCTCCTTAAATTTGTTTCATCTCAAGTTTCTTTCTAAGTTATTTAAATATTTTATAATTTGAGAGATTTTATAAGTATATCGATCACTTATTCACTTGTCTTACATGAATTAGATCCACTTCTTTATGTTTAATATGATCTCTTATAAAATAAAATCTTATGTCAATATATTTCGATCTTTTTATGATAGACTATATTATTGGCAAAGGCAACAATTGATTTGTTATTAACATGAATCTTAATTGACTTCTCATGCGATATAAGTTCTTGAAGTAGTCTTTTTAGTCATATTGCTTGACAAACACAAGAAGATGTCACTATATATTCTACTTCATAACTTGATTTTTTTTTTTTAAGCAACGATATGTTTTTTTTTTAAGACCATGTGAATATAGTTTCACCAAAATAAAATATAAATTTGATTGTACTTTTTTTATCATCGTAATTTCCAACTCAATCACTATCATTATATCAAATGAGCTCTAATCTTTTAGATGATGAATAGAAATATTTCATACTCAACTATTCTTTAATATATCATAAAAAAAAAAATTTAGCGACCTTTAAATGAGATGTCTTAAAAGCTTCCATATATCTACTTATTAAACTAACTCTAAATAGTATATCAGGTTAAGTGCATATTTATATAAATATTTTAAATAAAATAAATGTTTATCCAATAATTTTATGCTTGTGAGGCTTGTTTAAGCTCATAAAAAGTTCATGATCGTTAGCATCAATCCTTCAGAGTCATATCAATTTAGAGATTTGGAGTTGAATTTGAGGAAAAGATCATAGCTTAACCTATGCTTTGACACTAAATATTGAACTATATATGAATAAAAGATAGAGCTATCACATAAACGAAAGATAAGAATAAGATAAAATATTCTATATTTTACTCCAAAACTCCTCCCAACACATAGGATTTATATAGTTCTCGTACATATATAACATTCATTATCTTTAATATGAATTTCTCCTTTTTAATATTTTTTTAAAAGAATCAATAGTTAATATTTATTTTCTAATATGTTTCACCTCTTAATACAATGATTTTTTTTTATGATGGTTTAATTCCAACGGATAAAACATATATGTTTAAGCTGTCAGATGATCACATCGTCATGCGTCGTTGTGCGTGTGAGAGAGAGATGCAGAAATTGTGAACGCGTCCTACAAATTATGGGATATGACTTTGGCAGATGTACTACCGGTAAAACTTACTAAACAAGATGCCGAGATGTCGAAAATGGTCTAACATCCCTCCTTAGCGCTGAAACTAATAGAGGCAAGGCAAGATTGTTGCTACAGCTCTTTGATCGCAACAGTAGATCGGTGTCTTCCTATTCTGCTAACCAATTCAATTATGCAATCGTATATAATCAATCACATTGCTTCTCGACATTTGTATTTTGTTGTCGTCAGTTTTTTTTAATATTATCATCTACGTTTTCTTTTTTTACTATTTACAAAGCTCTTGCTTTTGATCATCTCTTTAAAAATAATAAAATATTTTTATTATTATTTATAGCCTCAATATTATTAATTTTTTTTATTTTCACATTCTTTTATTTTATCCTCGTTGTTATTGATATCATTGTCGCTGACTTTACTCGTTGTGAATATTGCTCGTCATCCTTTTGACGCCTCTTTGCTCGTTGTTGATGCTTATCGCAAATGTAGTCAAAGACAACGTTGCTCGTCGTCTCTCCACACATTGTCAATACCAATGTTGCCTGCTATTATCGTTGAAGATGCTCACTGTTGATGCCACCCAATGTCGTCCAGCCTAGCTCGTTGCGCCCTTGGTGTTGTCCTTTGAGTAGGATATTTATGTTTATTTACAAAGTGATAGTTTAAAAATACCAAAAAGATAAAATTATAAATAGTAAAAATGGGGTTGTAAATGTTCGTTTTAATTTTGTTTAGTGATTTCCTTGAGAAGGTCTTTCTTTTTGTGTTTTTTCGAAAAGTATCCTTAGTTTTTTTTATTTTTTTTAATATCATAAATGACCCGTTCTCATCAATGTCTCTTTCTTATTTTGTCGAGGTAGTCGCGCAATAAAAGCAATAAGAAAGGAGGCGAAGGGGTCAAAGTAATAGATTCTCGTGGCAGAACAAACGCGATCATTACATAGTGAAAGACTCGGACGATCGATGATGTCCGCCCAAACGAAGAAGATGGGGGTAAAAAAGTCATACTGAGGGATCACCAACAGCGAACACAAATAAAGAACAATGACCATCCAAACTACTAACCATAGCAGTGTGACTAATACAACTTTAAACTTGCCCAGATATCTAAAGTAGGTTCCTCAACGATCAGAGAATAAGAGTGATCACCTTTTCTCCGATTTGATGGAGAAAAGGTAGGTGTCAGCAGCTTCAATTCCCTCTAATAAAGCTGGAGTTACAATCATACATGGTTAATTGCCGCTCAAGTTTCCGGGAAGGATGTCACAGCGAGGTGCGTCTGCGCTGGTTCAGCAGATAGCTAGGCAAGGCGGCTGGGGAAGGAGAAAACGATAGGCTGCTCCATTTCTGCGTTCTTGCCTCCCCCAGTTGTCCGGTCAACCATGGTCGGTATTCTATACATTATAATGGCCGGGCACTCCAAAGTCGTCCCTTATCACATCAGATCCACAGTTCCCTTTGTCTTTTGGTGTAGGAAGTCAATTTCTCTAGAGGAGAGTTAAGAAGGGTGTAAGAAGAAGAAGCCGTAGGATTCTTTGGAGCCTGTTGGATGTTTTAGTCAAAATAAAACATCACAAATGTCCCAAATGACATGTAAAATAAAAAATAAATAAATTAACAAGCTCTTGGGAAGTCACGATTCACAAAAGTGTGACACTCAAACAATTCAACAAAGAGAATAGAGAGACTTTGAATAATAAATATATAATCGCAAGTCTAACAACGATAGTTATGTGATTAGTTGATAAACCTATGCATATGATTTGTATATATACTCTTGCTTTTAAATGGATCGCTGATACCACTCTAATGTCTCGTTTAGTTTTGTGCCACTTGAGGTTCTCAGGCTTGAAGAATTCAACCCGCGACACACAAAAGAGAGATTTGAGCGAAGCAACGTAGCCTACAGAAGCTGGGGGATAATACATAAAAATCAAATAATACACAAAGCTAAGCAGCTGCCAAAGCGACGATTAGTCCTCCACAATATGCTACTCTGATATCGAAAGAAGAGAGCAGTGATAGGGAAGATGTCCCAAGAACAAACAAGTTGACCGGGTGAGATAAATCCAATGACATGAAAGCTACAGAGTGGAGCAGGAACCTCACGCTGTTCTATCTCTGAAATCAAGTTCAGTTAACTATAAACGAGAGAATATCCCAAAACTTACTTGTATCTGTTGATCTGACTCTCACATATATACAACACGATAATGGAAACAATAAGACCAAACGTAGGACCTTCTCTTCTCTGACGCGGTTGAGTGGAGGCAAGATAAGAGGAGGAATGAAGGAAGAGAGGAACAGAGGAATAGAACTCGTGAGGAGCCAATCGATCGGCGTCCACTTACCGCAAGCTATACAACTTGCACTTTTAGCTCGCTTGACGACCGGGAACGGTGGAGACCTCGTTCGCTGACATGGAGGACCTCTTTATGAACTCCAAGCAATCAGCTATCGCCTCGGTGTAGAAGGAGTTCGATCCACCGCATGATCTTAGACGACACTCGATTTGACCGCCATGCCGTCCCTCCGACACGAAGCCTCTCCGGCTTCCGCTGTTGCTGGACGGCCATCGCGAACCATTTCGCCGGAATCCTCTCTTTGCGACATGCACGCATCTGCTGAAGAGACTCCAGAGAGTACAGAGCCTGTCTCGTAGAAGGGGAACCGCGAAGCGGTTTGCGCCGAGTCGGAAACCTCTCCTTGTCCGCCACCGTCGGCCTAGCCTACTGTAGCTTTGCTCACCCATTTCCCCCGCTCCCAAGGTGCTCCGGCACTGTCGCCCGGTTGATATAAGTCAATGCTTGTGTGTGGTCATTGGAAGCGGGGCGATGAAGGAACACAGAAGATGGGGGTGGGTGGGTTTGAATAACATTTTGAAAGCCGCTTTTGGTTTGCAAATCAAAGGTACAGGCGATTACATATATGTCAATTAAGATGACAGTGGCGCTGGTTGCACTCTTTTCTATGGGTTTATAAATGCCACGTTTTCTGCATGATGCGACGTGGAGGGCTATATCTAATGATGATGATGATGATCCACGGCGATGGATTTGGGGGTGTAGGGACAACTTGATCGTTTCCTTTACCTTGTACTCTATTACAACCAGAGCTGGTTGTGTGTTGGTATCGGTGCCGAACGCGCGTGTGCACCTTCCGCACCACTCGTGTGGGACGGTCCAGTTGGTGGATGGTCGGAGACTTGTGTGACATACGGAAACCGCACGCTTGCTCATCGCAATGCCTCCGAGGCTGAGACGAGCACGGCCATTACCTTCTCTTTTCTTAACGATCTGACTTGATGAACACGGCCGCGGAAGCTTGGCTTCGACTCAATCTTTGAGTCCTGAGGTTGCTCACCTGTCCTCTCTGCCTCCCTTTCTTCCAGGCGTTTCCGAAGATGACACGAACCTCTGGGTAATTTAACCTGCGCCAATGGAGGTGGATTATAGGCATACAGATGGATCTTGCTTGGTTTGAGGTTTCTTCTTTGGATCATAATAGTTGGGACGCACCGGAACGAGTTGCAGATATGCGTCGTCTTGTTGACCATTATATCTACCATCGATAGGCAAAATCTGATCTGATGCGGAAAGTGAAAGACCCATCATGTTCATCACATTCATTTCGTAAGATCTGAAGTGAGACGAAGACGAAGACGAAGACTCCGCTTGCGATCGCCAGCCTCAAATTAGTTCGCAGTTGGATAGTTTATATATCAGAAACAAATTAAGAAGTACATATCTTTTATTATCAAATGGATTCAAAGAATCTCTTCCTGCAACATATGTCTTTTATCATCAAATGGATTCAAAGAATCTCTTCCTGCAACATATGTCTTTTATCATCAAATGGATTCAAAGAATCTCTTCCTGCAACATATGTCGTTCTCATAACACTAGGACAAATCACATCCGTATAATAACATGAAAAGAAAAGCACAAAGAAGATTCAGAGCTTTATTTCTTTCAGTTGCTCATTCCTCCGTTCCAGAGCCTACGGAGCTGTCGCTTATAAGAAGGTGGTATGTCTTCTAACTTCGACGTCAGAGGAGAGGAGGATCATCCAAGAACCTCTGATGCCTTTTGCTTTCACTGGTCTTTTCCGACGCTTTATGATGGACGTGTTTTTCGAGTTTAATTAGCAATCCCCTGAGTGATCTTTTTCTAAATGCTGCTTAAAGAAAGAAAAATAAGTATAATAGCTTAGATTTCTCCTCTTCTATTACAAGTCACAACATGATTCATTACAAGTCAAAGTAATCCATTGAGAATCATATTGATTTTTGGCAACAATTCTCCATCAAAGCTCTCTTTCTCCCTTACAAAAAGAATCCATCGAGAAGCTAGAATTGCTGCTTTTTCTTTTCCTTTTCTTTTTTTGAAGATCACATCAGTAAGACAATGATCCCAGGTCATTAAATAAAGAGATAGAGAAAGTCATATCATTATATGTATATATTATCTGGTGGATGTCAATGACATCTCAAGAAGTTTGGTTCAATTCCATGCTGCGTAGGCAATTGACATGAGATGATCAAGAGAATGACTCAAGTGTACATAAAAAAATCTATCAAATAATAATAATTCGTGACTATCATACTAGTTGGTCTCACATCCTTTGTGCTGATCAGATAGCCATTTGATGAGATGTGATTGAAAGAGAACTTCTCCCTTTTAACATATATTTCTTTTCATGACGTTGCAATAGATGAAGTCTGAATCTAGAGTCGGAGCTTCTCTGTGATGCATATTTCGTAATATTCCTCTTTCTTTAGCATTGGTATGAAGCCCGGCCTGACCAAGAAGAGGACAAGTTGAGACCACAAAAAGAAGGAAGCATTCAAAAGACGACCACAAGAGAATAGTTTCACGAGTTAGATTGCACACCACAAGAAGCCCGGCCTTCAAATTTACTTCGTTTATAGGCCTTCCGAAATGAATTCTCTTACATGCATCGGCACAGTCTTTTTCAATGTCAAAAGAACGGGTCCTATTTAGATAATAAAATAATGCCATGGTTTTATACTTGTAAATTTATGTGACAAAAATTAGGAAAGTGCTTTACTTCATCAGCATATATCAATCGATTCACATAATTTGCAATTCCCGATTCCCAATTTTGCAAGCCATTTCTGTGGTGCTTTCTTTCTTATGGCTTCATCTCCTCTCGAATTGACAAACAAAGTTATTATATGCATATTAATTAAAGCACGACAGATGCAGACGGCGGCCTTTATCTCATGGCGGAGATTCCAACCTCTTTCCCTTCCTTATTTGCATTGGGCGAAACGTTTGCCGTTGCCTCTCTATTCCATCACCACTATTTGATTTTGATTATTATTATTATTATTATTATTATTATTAACGATCTGATCTCTCTCTAAGTTTATCTCACGGAGCCATATGCAGCAGAAGAAAGAAAAACGTGAGCTGACTCGAACCAAGTCAGAACGTTGAATGCGGAAAATGATGTGCGAACGAACGGAATGAGGCCACAACAAAGCGAAATAGTAAAAGAAAGGAAAAATAAATAGTTGTGCAGGAACCTTCTTGTGCCAGCCGGTATAAAAGCAACAATCCACCCTTTTCTCCTCCGCATTGTTTTGTGTTACATTGGCTGTGCTCCTCAAGAGTATGAGCTATTCCCCTCGTCCGGCCGTGCTCCGCCTCCCTTCGGCCACCATCTTCGCCCTCTTCTTCCTACCCCTTCTCCTTCCTTCCGCCCGATCTCAGCTTATCAACACCACAATCATCTCCAACAAGACCTACTCCACCTACACCTTCCCCTCCTTCTATAGCGTCAACAACAACACCAATCTCCTCCTCCTCAAGGACGCCGACCACAGCCAGGGTGCCCTCCAGCTCACCCCGGACAGCAGAAATCAGATAAGCTTCCTTCTCAACAAATCCGGCCGCGTCTTCTTCACCACCCCTTTCCGACTTTGGGAAGATCGGCTTTCCCCTTCCGACAACACCACCAAGTATGTTGCCTCCTTCAACGCCTCCTTCAACATCAACGTCTTCCGGTCCGAAGGCACCATCCCCGGTGAAGGCCTCGCTTTCCTCATAGCCTCGATCCCGGAGGCGCCGCCGCCCGGGAGCGAGCACGGCTACCTCGGCCTCACCAACGCCACCCTGGATGCCAACCCCGACAACCGCTTCGTGGCCGTCGAGTTTGACACCGTGAAGCAGGAGTACGACCCAAATGATAATCACGTCGGCCTCGACATCAACTCCGTCAACTCCACCGTCACGGCCAATCTAAGCTTTCTAATAGCCCCGGTAAATGCCACCATCTACACCGTATGGGTGGACTACGACGGAGTCAGCCGCCACATGTGGGTGCACATGGCGATCGTGGGCGACCCGAAGCCATCCGCCGCGGTCCTCAGCTCCCCACTTGACCTCAGCGATTACCTAACCCAGTACTCCTACTTCGGCTTCTCAGCGTCGACGGGAACGAACTACGAGCTCAACTGCGTGCTATCCTGGAATCTCACGGTGGAGATGATCCCCGATGATAAGAGTCGCATGCCGACATGGAAGCTGGCCGTGATCGTCAGCAGCGGCGTGCTGGCCGTCATGATAGTGCTTGCAGCGCTCTTGGTGGGGCTGTACGTGAGGAGGAGAAAGGTGGGGGACGGTCCGAGCGCGGTGGTACTAGGAATGCTGAAAAGTCTTCCAGGGACGCCGAGGGAGTTCGAGTTCAAGGTGCTAAACAAGGCGACCAACAACTTCGACGAGAAGATGAAGCTGGGGAAAGGGGGGTTCGGGGAGGTGTACAAAGGCATGCTGCCGGGTGAAAACAAGGCGGTGGCGGTGAAGAAGTTCTCCAGGGCTAACAGCCGGCAGGACGACTTCCTCAAGGAGCTCACCATCATCAACCGCCTTCGCCACAAGCATCTCGTCCCTCTTGTTGGTGAGCTGTCTACTTGTCCTCATCTTCCCTTCCTCCGCTTCACAATTTGCTCCGATTCGTTTGTTTACTGTTACCATATTTTTTATTGTTTTTTTGGGTGGAGGGTGATAAAAGGAATAGGTAGTCCCATTGATTCCGATGCCAATTTGCTCTCTTTCCGGGGAGTCGGTGGAAATGCTCTGCATATGTCAGAGTCCACAAAGAAACATTTTTTTTGTTTTTGTTTCTGTTTGAATAGAGTTGCTACTAAGCTTGCGTGCTTGAGCAAACCTCCTTCATGATTAAGTAAATTTGACCATTATAAAACTAGTAAATCCACGTAGCATTGATTGAGCTGAGCCGGACAGATCTTTTCAACTGAACGGTGAGATGAATGCAGGATGGTGCCACACAAACGGGATGCTGCTCCTCGTGTACGACTATATGCCGAACGGTAGCCTGGACCAGCACCTCTTCGAGGGACCAGACATGCCAATCTTGAACTGGGAGCGGCGGTACAACGTGATCACCGGTGTCGCCTCCGCCCTCCATTACCTCCACGACGAGTACGAGCAGAGGGTGGTGCACCGGGACCTCAAGGCCTCCAACATCATGCTCGACGCCAACTTCAACGCCCGCCTAGGTGACTTCGGCCTCGCTCGCGCCCTCGAAACCGACAGGACATCCTACGCCGAGATGGAGCTGGGCGGTGTCCCAGGCACGATGGGGTACATAGCCCCGGAGTGCTTCCACACCGGCAAGGCGACCTGTGAGTCCGACGTCTTCGGCTTCGGCGCCGTCGTGCTCGAGGTCGTGTGCGGCCGCCGCCCCCGTAGCGACATCGCAGGCTTCAAGTTCCTCTCCGACTGGGTGTGGAAGCTCCACCGCGAGGGGCGCGTTCTCGAGTCCGTCGACCCCAGGCTGGAGGGGGACTACGTCCCGGCGGACGCCGAGCGGCTCCTCCTCCTGGGTCTGGCATGCAGCCATCCCAGTCCCGGGGAGCGGCCCAA